ACACGGTATTTCTTTTGATTGTTGCCTTTGTCTACAATCACTGATCTGCTCTGAAAGCTGAACTATTATTAGTATTGTTTTAACTATTCGACTATACAGCATACTGTCTACTTACATCGCAACATCAATATATAACTACTTCCATACCACGTATCTTGATACCGGATCAGAAGCTCCACACTACATGGGAAGGAAAGCCCACTTGGTAAAGTTTTTTAATTTGCTGAAGGTATGGATTACTGGCGGCTTGTAACTTTGGCCGTCCACCGAGTCCGCGGTATCCATGGACACGAGCTCAGTACGTCACGTGCCTCGTACGTGGGGAGCTGGCTTATTGTTTTATTAATAAAATGGATACATGAATAGAAACTCTCATCGGCTTAATTAACACAATGTTCCAACACTCGCGCAAATATCACCCGCACAGATCTGAAGAAGCCATACAAATATTAATTACATTTATTGAAGCAGTCATACATAAAATCAAGATAACTTGTTAGCTTTAAGTCATTTACAAAGGAGTTAAGCCCCGAAGAAGCGTTCGTCAGACGTTGATTTAGTCCATTGTCCCAATATATCCATTAAACGGCTCGCCCGTCTTAATTAGAAGCCCTTTGTCACCCAAATAGGCCAATTTTACAATAAAGTGTTGGTCCACGTGTAGTGTACTGATTGGTCTGGATCCAGACTACAGGAGCTGCCCTTGGAGCGGCGCCAGGCAGCGCCAGCACGTCTATTTATTCTGGGAATGTTACACTCGCTTCTGTGTACATAGGACTCAAATCAAACAAGTATAATTTATAAATTAGTTGTGAAAATAATGTTTTGGGAATTAATATGTTACGTACCTATTAATGAGATCCGATAACAGAGAAGTTAACAAAATATGTAAAACATTTACTTTTTCTTATATTTTAAAGTATCGTGACGGCCCGGAGGTTTAAGACGCCCGCTTCTCATGCACGAGGACGCGGGTTTGAAACCTATCAACGGCAAAATATCCATGTGATCTTTTTCGAATTATATGTTCTTTCTAAGATTATCTAGACACCATTGACACACGATGAAGGAAAATATCGTGAAGAAACTTGAACTTATAATTTCTAATTACAAGTTTGAAATCGTCAACTCGCATTGAGCAAGCATGGTGATTAATGCTCAAACCTTCTCAGTGCGAGAAGAGGCCTTTGGTCAGCAGTGGGCTGTTGATGAATATTTTAGAAAAATTTATAGTTATTCATCAGACTCTCCGTGAAATAAACATCGATAGATTAAAATGCAATAAACACAATGATCATTACAATGCAGCGCAACATTGTTGTTGCAGCAGTTTGGGTTGCCCTGCATTCATACAGTGTAGTTTAATGTGACAACTTCCGCACTAGACATTATAAAATCGGCAAAGTTGGGCACACGCCACACTCGGGGTTATATTAACAAGGTCTAACTTACATGCTACTATGAACCTTGTTGACATTCCTCTTTGTATTGAAAAGGTATTAAAATTATGTTTTTAAGAAAAATTCACGCAGAATCAGAATATTAATGAATTAAGTAATTCTGCGTATATAATATCATATATTTTTTTTTATATATAGCATCACGCCTTTTATCCCCGAAGGGATCGGTACGCATTAGGAGACTTAATGCCACTGTACAATGTAACACCCACTTTTCATTATTTATGTTATAAGTCCCATGTAATAGGCGGTAAGCCTATTGCCATATCCTGGGCACAATTCCGGACTCCGTGCTACTACTGGGATTTTTTAAAACCCAGTAATACTTTGCCCGACCCGGGAATTGAACCCGAGACCCCTTGCCCAGCAGTCGCACTTCCGACCACTCGACCAACGAGGCAGTCATGTATCATATAATTAAGTAACGAAATATAGAAGGTGGAATGAAAAATTGTTTTGTTTTATTCTATTCCGTGACATATAGAAACAGACAATTTTCTGTCGAACCCTAATGAAAACAAATACCTACATACGATTTATAAAAACTTACA